ATATATATATATATATATATATGAAATTACGTATAACTGTTCTTGTTTTTAATTGATATTTTTAAATCATTAGATCACAAAAAATTTTTCTTCTTTCACTACACTGAAATATTCAAAGTCTGAATTGTCATAACTGAGCAATTGTAAAATATTTTCAAACTGTTTTCCTAATGTGTATAGAAAAAAATGTAAAATATGTATTTTGTTTAAAAGGAACTTTTAAATTCACAGTATTTTAAACACCAACAAAATGCAATATATATTTTCATAAACATAATTAGACACTTTATAAAAAGATTTTAATAAAATGTACACAAATGATTTCAATGCAGAGATGGATATACAATTCAACTTGTTCAGTTCTACTTACAAGGAACAGTATAACAAACTAAAAATGTAGTTTTCTCACAAGGTTGACAAGATTTATACTCACTCCAAGACAATTAGATGTTAAGACAGTTAGAATCCCTGTACAACCATATGCTATTTCTTCTGCAATGAGGCAGCTATCAAAGATACCTATACCAGCTCCGCCTGAAATCAATTATTTAGCAGAAATAACAAATTAAATAAAAATTTCTAAAAGATAAACTATAGAAAAACTAGACCACAGTTGGAGAAAAAGAAAATCCAACTGGATTCTGCTAGAAAAACAAAATATTTGTTGCATTTTCTAGCTGAAAATGATTGAAAAATCTATTGTCTTTCAAGTGGACTTAATGGATTTAAAAAGACATTCATTACAAAATATACACTTTTTTAAACTTGAAACCATTTAGTAAATACACACAACCAACTGGTTACCAGTGACTACCTGATCTTAACATGAAATTACTACTGTGCTCTAAAATACATGTAAAACCCTCAAACTAGCAAATTAATTTTGAAAATCAAGGCCATTGCTAGACGATGAGTAACTTATTTACTCCTTCTGTCACTTGTTTCTGATCTTTAATTTTTTGCTCTAGAGCACTGAAATGGGCTAGAAGCTAGATAATCTGTTTACCTGTTAAATGATTGATGTGTATTTGTAGTACTGACTGAAGACTCCAACATAGCTTACAAAAAGTCATGAAGCACTGTTTTTCATTATCAGTGCACTGCATAAAATGAACATAAAAGTAAAAAGCGGAATCAATTTCTGATAAAAATAAGTAAAATGTAACTTCAATGGAAGTTGAAAATAAACAAAAGGGAAATGAGATTCAAGCACCGTGGCTGACCAATTCAAGTCAAACAAACTTAGATAATGATTAACATACAATGAGTAGGAAATATCACCTATCATAAACATTATAGGAAGTGAGTCAAAGTTTGCAGGTTCATCTGAATACTAAATAGGAAATATACATTTCAAAAGGAATCTTGATTTTTAGCAATGAAGTATATATCATAAACAATGTAAGGAAAGAAGTTAATGTTTCTAAAACCAAGTCTACCAGTGCAAAATATTTTGAAAAGATCGAGCAAACTGTTACCATGCACAATCCTTTTAATATATACCCTCTCTATTCTGGGAACACAAACAAAACAACTTCATATTTCAAAGAAGTATAGAATTATAATTAGGCTATAAATACCAGAACATTTCTAATTCGCAATATTATTTTGTACTTATGAAACAACTATTTAATGATGTTTACCTATGGTATTCAAAAAATTATATTTTACAGTATACGATCCATTAGAATGTCACTTGTAACACAATATATGTCAATGTCTTACCATACTTTTGTGGAATGTTTTGATTCATTAGTCCTAATTTCCAAGCTTTTTTTTACACATTCTTCAGGGTACTGAAAATACAAGAAATATTTTTAATTTATTGTAATATTTCACTACATTCACAAAGCAGATATGATCATCCAAGACCATGAACAGCTAATCTCAGAAATCTTTTCTTCACAACTTTAAATTAGTTTGTTACCCAGTTCTTTTTCCTTTATTAATTCTTAAAAATTTAGTTTTCATTATGGAAATGTATTAACAAAAACCAATCATGTGAAAACTTTCAATGCATTAAAATCAAAACAACGTGATAGATTTTATTTACCAAATCCACTGGACAGCAACTATACAAAAGTCACAACTACTTATTTTCCTACAATCCAAGCATTATGTCCCATATCTCAAGATTGCAATTTTTTGTGAATAGACATAAAACCCTTTCTTGATAGTAAAACAAAAAAATTAGGCATTTTAATATTAATCACGTTTCATTAAAAACCTCTTCAAGCTGCTGATAACATATCAGTATGTGATAAAATACACTGTCTTTTTTATCATGCATCACTGAGAAGCTCTTATATGCATTAAATATATTCACCTTTTTGTACAATCAAACCAATAATCTCTAAATATATTCATTATTAGAACTGAACTTTTGATCAAATATATATAAACACACAACCTAGTACACAAATAAAATGCAACCGAGTGTTTTGCTAATAATTGTTTTGTCATTTATATTGTATTCTTTATATTTTCAGAATGTACTCTATGGACCTGTTGAATTTAATCCTGTGAACTACAGGCACCCATCTCAAGTATGATGTTCATAATTGAACAACAAACAAAGATAGTAGAATTCTAAATCCTACAAAAATGACAGAATCACTCTCTAGTCATCACTTTAATGTTCAAACTTGACTTCTTACTATGGGGTTACTGGAAAGATAAAGTCCACACAGACAATTTGCAAACAGTTCAAGAACTGAAGGGAGTTATTCAAACCTTCATACGTCGATTTTCCAGTGGAAACCTTTCAAAACATTATTCAGAACCTTCCAGTACAAATCAATGCCTGCCTGATAAAACAAGGTCATCACCTCAAATAGATCTTACATATCCATAAAGAGGTTGACTAGTCAGAAAAACTTTTTCAATAACTGGTTTATGCACAAATAATTAAAATATTATTAGTAAATCCTTTAATTGCATTATTTTTGACATACCCTGTATACATACACACACACACACACACACACACACACACATATATATATATATATATATATATATATATATATATA